CATTTTGGCTGCTTTCCTGTTTTCTATGTCTGTTCTCCCCCCCACACACACACAGAGCAATAAGAACAACAAGCTAAAAAGCAGATATGAATTGTTGGCAATGTAAGCAAATTATAACAGATAAGTGGGAAGTTACTTTGCATACTCTGGAACAGAACCTGCAGCCCTCCAAATGTTCATGAACTATAACTTCCATTGTCCCTCACTTTCGGTTAGGGTTAGGGTTTGTAGATCACCTGGAGAGCCATGACCTTTGCCAAGGTTTTGGAAAGACACTATCAGCCTGAGTAGACCCAGCATCCCTGTAGATTAGCCTTTGTAGTGGCCATGCTACCAGGGAATTTAAATTGTCATTTAAATCAATTTGATTTGAATCAAATACACCCTGATTACCTCTGAAGTAAATATGCACAAAAGCATATGATCAGTGGAAGCTAAGGCTTTCTGAGGGAAGTTGAAGCTATCTAACATTATTGGTAATAACAGTTTTATATTGTCTCCGGTCTATGAGGCATTCAAATTTCTACTCAGACATGGAAATCCATGTATGTATATGTGTGCATGTGCATATGTCTGTGGGAAACCACTCCTTAAATAGGTTGCACACCTTGAAACCCGTTATTATGGTTGCAATAAGGTAGGTGTGGTTTGGCAGCATATAACATATTGTGGTGCTTGTTCTGTTCTAGAGAGCTCTAGTGCTGTAGTTCAGGGAATTACCTATATTAGAGCAGAAAGTTTCATATGCATCATGATCCCAGAATTCCATGGGCTGGAACCAGGACTGTTAAAGCTGCAGATGCTGACCGCTTCCTGCCTTTTGTTCCATATTGGTCTTCGTCATTGAAGCATGACTGTAAAATAATCTCCCTAATGAAAACATATTTGAATCCCTTCTCTTTCTCTATAGCTGTGACTATCACACCTGAATAACTGGATGGTACTAGAGCAGAGAAAAGGTTTCATTGCAAATATGTATGTATTTTCCCTGTTCATCCAGGAAGAAGATGGATTGCCATAGTAACATCATCATACAAGAAGAGATCAAGTTTTTATCAATATTGTCAGGCTTTTGCTGTTAACGTATTTTTGCTTAGAAAGGGGCCCTAGACTAAAAGGCAGACCATTGCATTTTGAAATTATTATTTTATTTTATTTTATTTATTGGATTTCTATCCTGCCCATCTAGACCAAAGGTCTAGAAATTAGACCAAAGAAATTAAAGATAATCTGATCAGTGGGTAAATTAATACCAGTGAGTAAGCAAGACTGAATTGATAAAAAAACCATTTTTACATAGAGGCTCATGTCAAGCTTTAATGAGGAAAATCAGGATTGATTTACAGCAATGTAAATGAAATATGGAAATTAATTCTCCTGAGCTTTCCATTTGCATGACAGCCAGGCACCATAAAAGCAACAAAAGGACTACAAAATTGATTGTGTAGAAAGGAAGAACTGGACAATATTTGTTTAATATTCTAAGTAAATGAAGTCATTTTAGTAATATTAATAATAGCACTAAAGGCTATATATTCCCAATAAATTGTGGACAGAGACCAAAGAGAATTAACATTAATGTAAATTCTGTAGCAATGAATGGAGTTTATGTATCAAGTCAATCCCTCAAGATTAGTTCATAAAGACACAATACACTAAGAGATTTTCCTGTGCAAGTTACATTTAAATGATTGAGTATCTTTATTTCAAAGGGCAGAGGTTTCTGAACCTGGTTTTATTGAGCACTTTCTGATGTTTATATTCATTTAATTCTGAAGTTGCAGTTTATGCAAGTGACAGGGAATGGAGTAATGGGGAAAGAAAAAGCTTATTTATGATAAATACAGATGCCCTAAAAGCCAATTGCAATATGTGTAACTGAACGTTTAATGTAAAATGTTCTATTAAAATGATTGATACGGCACACTATCACATTCAGCAGTGTTTGTTTATTTTGCAGCTGGTCTAATAAATGATAGAAAGACAACAGAAAATGGGAAAGATTGCCAACCCAGATGGAAACATGGTAAGATGACCATGTGGCCTGTTTTACAGAGGATAGTCCTCTATTTGAAGACAAGACATAGACAGTCCTCTGTTTGAAGCTTGTCTTTATTTGATGGACTTTTCAGTCCTGTTTAAAATTGATGAGCCTCAGAAGGACCAACAGGACCCTTGAGGTTGTCCATCCATAGTTGGCACCAGGCCAATGGGCTGCGAAGTTGCTTGGCCAATCTTTCTCTTCTATTGAAGTAAATAGCATTTTAATTCAAGTTATAGTAACTTGAATAATTTTTGAATTTGTGACTACACATATCAATCAAAATATGGAAATTTGATGCATATCTGTGCTCTGGCCAATCTTTCTCTTCTAGTGAAGTGAATAGCATTTTAATTTTTGAATTTGTGACTGCACATATCAATCGAAATATGGAAATTTGATGCATATCTGTGCTACCTTTGGGGGCTATGTATTTCATCATTTGAAGCAGTGTAAGTGGTTACCCTAGATCAGGGGCCTCCAAACTACGGCCCATTGGTGTCACATTCCCACGGGGTTTCCAACAGGCAACAGTCCAATAAACCAGTCCAATATCAGAAGTCCAGAAGATGCAAAGCAGATACCAAAATGCCAAAGCCAAAACACAAACTGTAGCCAGTAGTCAGAGTCCAAAGCCAAGGGTCCAGAGAACAGGGTCTAGTATAAGCAAGAGCATGGATGAAAGCCGGAGTGTTGATTTGTTGCTTCCACAAGCTTCCAAGCCTCTAGGTGCAGATTTTATAGCAGCAACAGTAATCTAAACAGTTCATCCTGCTAAACCTCAGGGCTGGTCGACCTGATGTTCCTACGGGAAGCATTCATGTGATCCTCTGCCCTTCGTGTCATGAGTCTTTGCCGAAGTTTAGTTCTCACTCTGGCTACTGGGGGAGGAGAATCTGGTGGTGATTCAGATGTCTGTGCTTCTAATTGCCCAGCATTTTCCTCAGCTGTAATTAACCCCTCAGATTCCAGATCTTCTTCAGCTGAACTCATGACAATGGGCCACATCTGGCTCACCTTGCCTTTTTATCTGACCCAGTCATAGAAAGAAGAGGGAAGGGGGACCCAAGCGATCCCCCACCCCCGCTGTCTTTAGATTGTTTGGGTCTCCCTTCCCTCCTCTTCCTATGCCCCAAGCGATCCCCCGCCCCCGCTGTCTTTAGATTGTTTGGGTCCCCCTTCCCTCCTCTTCCTATGCCCAGGTGGAGATAGGAAGAGGAACGAAGCCTGACAGAAGCGATTCCCCCCACTCCCACTGTCTTTGCAAGGACAGCAGGGGTGGGGGCCCACTCCCATTGTCTTTGCAAGGACAGCAGGGGTGGGGGATCGTTTGGGTCCCCCTTCCCTCCTTCAGCCCTCAAAAATGTGTAAAATATATTATGTGGTCCTCATACTGAAAAGGTTGGAGACTCCTGCTTAGATGATACAATGATACCAATGTTCCTTCTAACTTTTCTAAGTTCACTGAGAAGACGTCTTTACATGGTTTCCAGTTTCTTGCTCATACTACAGATAGCTTCTAGAAGGTCACACCTGGCTTTTCAGGTTGCAAGGACTTTCCCATTTACTCTGATGGACAGTGCAACTCTATATGGCCAAAGCATTATTTTCAGACCACACTCTACCATTATTTCTCGCTAGGAAACCAACTATACAACATCTCTGTAAGTCATATTTATGTCACTAAATTTCCTAAGTACAGAAATGCATAGGAAGATGACTAAGTGGTTATATTAGAATAGTTTGCTTGTTTATTTATTTAATTTTTATATCGCCCATCTGGCTAAGGCCACTCTGTGCAGTTTACAGCATATAAATATCTCCAAGTACAATTTAACATAACAAAAAATGGAAATAGTAAAATACAAATTAGCAATAATCTGAAAGCATTAAAATACATCAAATAAAACATTTAAAAACATTCAAAGCATTAAAACATTTAAGATGGTGAACATTGGTCAGATAGACTAATTAGACTCAGCTGAGTTTGCAGGTATGATGTTTTCGCATGCTTGCCTAAATAGCCAGGTTTTTGGTGACTTTCTAAATTTCTCTAGCAAAGAGACCAAGCAAATTGCAGGGGGGAGTTCATTCCACAGTTGAGGGGCAACTGCTGAAAAGACCTGGTTTCTCATCTCCTCCATCCGTGCCTCTCTCGGGGCCAGCATCCTCAGCCGGATACTCAGGACGAGCAGATCTTGTTGGAAGTAGGCGTTCAGCCAGGTAATGAGGTCCCAGATCATTTAGGGCTTTAAAAACATCATCTTGAAGCTGGCATGGAAATGGAATTTAGGAAGTACAGTAATATGTGTGTTTTGTGGACATGAGCATTAGAAAAGGCTAAGTTTTGTAGAACGCAGGTTAAGTAGTTCATGGGCTAAAGAGGGAGCCTCACCCCCAAATTTTAGAGTGGTTACTCTGCTGCTTGTGGAGTGGTTGCCCATTATGAGAAATCAATGAATGCAGTTTATGTATACGATTGACATGATTTGCATGGTGAATATTCTGCAGTCTCTGTAACGAGTTAGACATTTACAGCACCGAGAATCCAACATGGTGTTGGTCTCCTAAATCCCAGTTTCAGTGGAACAAAACAATATGTGTAAAGAAACACAAGCTGCCCAACTTGGCTTGTTACCACTTTGCAAGACGGCATTTTCAGTCCAGCTGCAGGGAAAAGGTAAAGCATTTTTCTAATTTTCCTCTAATATCCTCATTTTTCCCCCTTAATCAGGTTCTGGGAGGATGTAAAACAGTTCCTCTTACCATCATCTGCTGCAAATACAAATTATAGAATAGAACTCCTCTACTTTCTGTGGTTCTTCCACCATATAGGTAGCCTCTTTGTGTTGTGAACTTCTGCTCCAGTATATGTGCTCAATTTTAGCTGTTGGGTAGTTTTAAAGGAAAGGAATTTGCCAACGTTTAGCCAATACCTCTCTATATTTGATTCTTTTAGGACACTGCTGGTCAAGAGAGATATAGGACAATTACTACAGCCTACTATCGGGGTGCAATGGGCTTCATTTTAATGTATGACATCACCAATGAAGAATCTTTCAACGCTGTGCAAGACTGGTAAGTAAAATGAAGGATAGATATTAACTGGAACTACAGCATAGTTGACTTGATCTTGTATTTCTCTTGCTTTTATGATCTGAAAAATCTGCATTGTGAGGAGAGAAACAATGTAAGAGCTGCATTGTAAGGAGAGACCCAATGTAATTTTGCAAAAAAAAAAAAAAAAAATCAAAAAAACCCCACCCAATTATGACTATTTTGAGCATGATTGTGAGAATGTTTTGTACTGGGTCTCCCTTTTTTGCTACCTCAGATCAAGCCTCTAGTCCACACATTTAAAGCTTCCTCTTTTTATTGCATCCATGCTATGCGCACATAAAGAAGCCACCATAAATGGTCAGCTTTGATGTGATAGGCATTAAATGGGATTAAACATTCATATTAAGAGGCCTAGCAGAGTTAAAACAGAGTTATGGAACCTGGCATCTCCTGATGTTTTAGACTATATTAGTCCCAGGCAACATGGTCAATGGTTAAGGACAAAGTACCCTCTAATTTTCAATTCTGCTGGGCAGGGCTCTACCTCTCGTGCATTCGGCTTCACCCCTGTGTGTGTGCAGCTCTGCCCCCCCTGCCGCCCCCACTCTGGCTTCCATCGCAACCAGGACCTAACATGATTGCTGCGTGGAGAAGGAAGAAAGCTGCACAGAGGGAAGCAGAATTTTGCACATGTGTGCACCCAGCTTAGTGGGAACTTTGGTTGAGGATAATGGGAATTGTAGTCCAGAACATCTGCTAGACACTATTACTTGCCTTAAACATTCAACTATTTAAAGCAATGGTTCCCAACCTTAGGTACCTAGATGTCCTTGAACTAAAATTCCCAGAGGCCTTCAGCTGTGCTGACCAAGATTTTTGGGAGTTGTGATCCAAGAACATCTGGGGACCCAAGGTTGGGAACCACTGCTCTAAAGAGACCATAACATGCACCAATAATGAAGAAAGCGACAATAATGTTAGTGTTATTTATCTTGGAAATATACCCTACCATATCAGCACTTGTTTTGAGAATACAGTAGCTTATTATGCTAATACCCCACCTTTCTTCCATTATGAATTCAAGGCATTCACAGGTCACCTGGGCACTGATCAGGATTAGTCCTGTTTAACTTTCACAAGCTGGTTGTATCATGTGCTTGTAGAGCATATTCCAGGACCACAATATATAGGAGAAAGAGAAGTTAATAATTAGGTATATATTTGTTCGAAAATGACTGAGGTTTATAAACCACCAAAATGAGGACTTGAAAACCTTGGATTTCCTTTTTCTATTTCAAAATTGCTGAACATTGATCTCCAAAATGCATTTAGATCTCTCCTTTTCTTTTGCTATCAGAATATCTTAAAGCAGGGCTGAGTAACTTCAGTGAACCGATGGGGCACTTTCACAGATCTTGCTATAGGCTATTTTTCCATGAATTGCCAATATTTAGACACTGGCAGTTGGAAAAAAAAATCATCCTGAGATTTTATGGGACTGATGTCCCTACCCCCTATTAGAACAGTGGTGTGCTGGAACCTCATGTATTGTTTTAGAGGACAGTCATACTTTGTTTTGGGGGATCCGTTTTACCTCTTGAAAACTCAAAAAGCTGAAGTTTTCTCCCATCACAGAGCTGCCAGAATTAAGCAAGGGAGGTGCTGCCTCATCCACAAAAATGGCAACAGACTGGATTTAACCTATGGACATTGTGCATTGAACCCTGGCTCAGGGGCTGTTATTTCTCTTTCGTACCTTCCCACTTTCCTTTCCATGATATGAGAACAGACACATATTAATACAATGATTGTTACTTTCTCAGAGCAAATGGGACACTACTTCCCCAGGCTCAGGCAGAGCTTAACATTTTTACTTCTTTGGCACAAGAGTACCCAGAATCCTCCAGTCAGCATAACTGGAGTTATAGTTTAACAAAGTAATATTTCTTTTCTTTTCTTTTCCTTTTTCTTTTTAATGTTTCGAAGTCTCGGCTCAAGTTATGCCCATTGAACTCACTCTTTCCTGCATCCTTATCAGAAAGAGAGGCACAAGTCTCTGTACTCCCCTTCTCCTCAGATTAGGTTGCTTTCATTTTTTGATTGGTCATCAGGAGGTAAACACTAACTGATTTGCAATTCTGATCAATCAGAGATGGAGTTTTGAAGGAATGCTTGCAGGGAAAGCAGCCTACCAGCTTCTAATTGCAAGAAGCTCCTGCCATGACAATCAGATGCTTTTAAACACTTACAGATTTTCCTTCCCTAATGCTATACCATCTGTGAGATATAGTTAGCTCTGAGAATCCTAACACTTTACATAATTAATAAAAGGGGATGAATAGAGTTTTGCTTTAATTAGTTTGAGGCAACAAGGAACCTGTCAGAAGGTCCTACATTAGCATATGGAGGTATAGACAGTGCACCTCCATTGTTCATTTTAACAGCAGGGTACAGTGGGAAATTCTGGTGCACATTATTTAGATTTACTAAATCTCTTTGCCTAATTGCTTCAAGTTAAGAAGTTTATGTATGTATGTATGTATGTATGTATGTATGTATGTATGTATGTATGTATGTATGTATGTATTTATTTATTTATTTAT